CTTTATAAGTCTTGAAGTTATCCCAAATTCCATCTACAACTTCAACTGGTTGCTGAACATCTTCATCCGTCTGAGACAAAGTTTCAGAAATTCTTTCTGCACCATTTAAGTTTGTGCTTTCATTAATAGCTACAGATTTTGTATCAATTTCAGATGTATTTGTTTTAACATTTAATTGTGTCTCTTTCCTTTCTCCATCGTCATCAGAATCATCACTTTCTGATGATAAATTCAAGGGGGGAAGGTCATAGACATCTACAACTTTAGATTTCTTCTCACCCACATCTTTTTCTTCATATTTGGCTCCTTCACCCAAGTTTTCTGCAACAGGTACTTCTATAGCAGCATTCGCTACATCTGCTTCTGACATTGTCGTCATTGTTTTAGTATCACACACCTGTGATTCTTCTCCTTTTATTGAATTACCCCTGTTGACTGCATCTTCATGGGCAAGTATCTCTCCTTGATGAGATTCACTCTCTGTCTTAGTTTTATCTTCTTGGTTTTCAGTTTCTCCTGTAGAGCCATTTTCTTGTAATTTTGTTTCGACTGTATTTTTTGGTGAGGAAGGCTCACGATGTTTCTCCTGGTGTTTGGTTAAAAGTTTCCTTGATATGAAACGTTCTTCACATTCACTGCATGGATAAGGCAAATCACCAGCATGGAGCCTCTTATGAACTTTCAACGCCACTGCTCGTGAAAAGCTGCTGTTGCATTCTTCACATACAAAAGAATTGGGTGGTATACAGAAATGGTAGACATGAGGCCATTTCTTCTGTAAACATTTCTTGCAAAGAACACTCTCAGTACCGTGCTTCCAGAACAGGTGTTTTGTAATGTCGGGTTTGTTTCGATATGCAATTCCACAGCGATAACAGAGATGATGTAGTTTGTGTTTCCATACATGGTTTGACAGCTTCTGTTGATCTTCAGTAGTTTCCAGACACACATCACACGCATGATGTCTCTTCCGCAAATGTACCATAAGTCTAAAAGCAGAAGGTAAACCATCAACTGTACACAGACAGCAGCGAAAGCTTATATTACTTTCTGGTACATAGATACCAGGGCATAAATGACACAGCAGCTCACTGTAGCTGTAGAAATTGGATTTACACATAATGCATAAAAGAATTGTCTTCTGGTGCATCTTTCTATTATGCACATACAATTCTTTATGTAGGTTTGTCAAGAAATGACAGTGGAAACATTCATATGTCCTATCATGGGGGCGCACACAAGTTTGGTCCATATTATCGTAGGAGTCTGTGTTAAAGAACATTTGCTGCAATTCAGATAATGAAGTTTTTAATCTATCTACAAAACCATCAGCTTCTGTAAGTTCCCCGCTATCAGAGCAAACCACCGGAGCAAAACGATGTTCCGCTAACAAATGCAATGCTAACTGTTTACCATTAACAGCTATTTTCTTAGCATGATTACAGTATACACAATTAAGGCAGGAAACTTTTACAGATTCCTTCAGTAACATTTGGATATTCATGGTATCCAGACTTTCCTCAAGTGTCAGTTCCAAAAGAGGTACTTCATCACCTGCTAACTGCACACTTTCTGCTGGTTCATCAGTTTTTTCATGTTCCAAAACTACACATTCTTGAGTTTCCTCTGCTGTATTTTGTACCTCTTCAGTGTCACTCTTTGGCTCATCTTGCTTACTATCTTCTACTTCACTCATTTTATCTTCTATAGCATGTTTCTCCACATCATTAATAACTTCTTTCTGTAATTCTGTTTTTTCTTCTTCTTCACTCCTGTTTTCATCAACAACAAGAGACATTTTATCACTATCTGCATTATCAGCATCTGACTCACTTTTCTCCTTATCCTTTGTCCCCTCATAATGATCACTTTCCTCAGACGATGCTTCTGAACTAGTAGAACTGTCCTCAGTATCATCGTCTGACTCAGATGATTCAGACTCTGAATCAACTTCTGTGGCACAAGGTGTCAGACTAATTTTTGTTTCTGTTTGTGATAATTTTTTTGGGTTGACATCATATTTTGGTGAAAATTTTGAATTTGTTTCCCTCTGCAGTTGTAGCTGTGACTTTGTATCACTTTCTACACTTGGCTGCAATTTTTCCATGGCAGGACTTTCAAGCTTATGACTGTTTTGAAAATCTGTCATGCTCTCAAAAGCTGACTTATCTGCTTCTATCTCTCCTTTGTGCACGCTTTCTTCAGATTCAGAAGAAATTTTGCTACTTTGGTTATCATAGCACTCATCACTTTCTTGAATTTCCTTTTCTTTGATATTTATACTGTTATCTTGAACATCTTCGTATCTCTTATCGTCACTAGTTTCTGTACAGTTCTGGTTTATGTTTGTAGTAGGTGATAAACTTGTAGGCTCCTGGTCAGATATTTTCTTTGTAACCACTTCCTGACTTTTACTTTTACAGGTTTTGACTTTTGATGCAGCTACTGGTTTCTGCTTTTCTGAGGGCTCGTGAATGTTTACATGACAGAAAGCAGCTGCATTACTGATATCATAGTCATCATCAATATCTGAGAGATCTCTAGATTTTTCCTGACTTTCTCCTGTATTATCAAGCATCGTGTTTGGTTTCTGGTTACTTTTCTTCCCCGGAACTTTTCCCAATGGAATTAAATATTTTGTGACTGAACGAGAATTTTCTTGAATTGTAGGTTGGGAATTCTGTGTTGATTCTGGAGGTCTTTCAAGTGTAGAAGGAACTGAAGAACTGGATGATGGTGGTGGTGGGGGCGGTGGAGATGAGCTACTGTTTGTAAAGGCTCGACGACATGTTGGAAAATGTGCACCTCGCAACCCGCATAAGAAACATGCCTTGTCAGTGTTAATCACCAATCCTTCACTACAAGAGTGATCAAAGAAGTTTTCTTGCTCTGTAAATATTCCGCCGCCCCCCCCCCCCCCCCCCCCCCCCGTGTGCTGCATGCCCAACCCATCACAACCTCCTATAGTAGTTCACTATCTTCACTATGCTAGGTGGCCTGTACAATTCTCTCAGCTTGTTATGCAATATTCCAAATTCTCCAGGTATTTCATCCTTCCTAGGTCCAAATATCATCCTGAACACTTGTTTTCAAACACTTGTAACCTGTGTTCTTCCATCTAGGTAAGAGGCCATGTTTTCAACTATACAAGATAACAGTCAAAATTATTGTTTTATATATCCAGATCTTTAGTGTTTTGGATAGCAAACGAGATTGTAAACTTTTTCAAATTATGTTACTTATAATTATGTTTCATCACTGTTACCGACGTTGAAATCACATTATCCCAATTTATTTAGTTTTGTCTACATTTACTACAAGGCCTATTTCTTTGCTAACATGCAGGTCAGTTTTTTCACTCTTGGTTATGGTACCCACACCATCCCCCAACAAACTGACATCAGCACGGGCAAGAACTTGGTGAAGACCATTCAATTTGAGCCCTTCCTGATGACATGTTGTAGAGCAAAATTAAAAAAAAAAACACTAGGGGTAAAGCATCCCCATTTTACAGCATTGTGCTTTGGGAACAGATCTGACAGGTTACCTATACAAACTCTACTAAATACCCCATGCATACACATCTTAATTAACCTAACGAGTTTCTTTGGTATTTGAAACTCAAAATGCCATACAATACATCTCTTCTTAGTCATATGCCTTCCTGAAATCCACAAATAGTTGTGTACTGACCCATCATACTCAACTTTTTCTCTATTTGTCACATAGAAAAGATCTGAAATATAGTTATCTTTTTGTCACACAATTAAACTCAAAATTGTCCTTTTCAACAGTTGAAAAAGGGCGAGTTTCAATCCTTAGTGGTTAGTTCTCTTGGAAATCCTTACTCAGGTGAAAAACAAAAACAAATCTGTAATGTCGAATTAATAAAATGAACTGCAATTAATGTATTTATAACCATAATATAAATAACACTAGCCAAATTAATTAAATCTTCAATTAGCTCTTCATACACAATTCACTCTTTGCTCCTAACAGAAAACCAATGAAATGTAAGTGTGACTCTCCCCTCTCACAAACAAACAAGTTGTTTGTTCCAGAGCCTACAGCCCTAACCTGAGGACAAGGTAAGTTCACAAACCAATTCTTGCATTCCCCTACATACACTAAAAACTACCAGTTCTCAAACAGGAGACAATACATAAATCTCAACCAAAAACAGGAATTGCCACCCCAAAGCCCTCTCACGGGACAGATACAGGCCAGAAACAGAAATAAATAAAAAACAAAAACCTTATCTCATACCTGCTTGAAAATGTATGCCAACCCAAGACCCCCCCCCCCTTTTCCAACTCTGCCTCTTTCCTCCCCATGCCTGTGCACTGGATACCAATCAGAAAGAAATGGAAAATGGACATTGATCTGCACCCACTAATTCCATCAGCTATTACCCACTCTGAGGCTGCCACCATATGCATCCTTCAACAGGAGGCAAATGTGTCAGCTCACAATCTTAATGTAGATGTGAATTCAAGCAGTTATGAGATTATACTGCCACGTAATGCATACCAGGGTTTGTTTGGTGGTTTCAGGTTACAGTTCTGACACAACTTTACTGAAGTGGTGTATGAGGGCATCTTCTAGGTACCTGTTCTGGAAGAAAAAGAAAGTTTCAAAACCTCATACAGCAATTCACGTACCTTCATAAATAATAACTGCACTTGACATGTCCATATCCAAACTGACAGCAATAGCAACCTGAACTAGTATAATTTTACAGCTTTTGAAAGTCTAAACATGAAACTTATTTTTCTGGCTATCAGGATGACTTTAAAGCTTATATATCTTTGTTGGTGCATCTGCTTGTACCACAATTCCAGTTACCACAACATAAGTATTTAAACCCTTATTTGTGATAATGGGACCAACCAATCCTGGTCCATAAATAAGTCCTGAAAAGAAGACATACAAAACAAAAATTGCACTGGGATCTCTTAAAGGAATGTATGAAGCAACAAAAACCTCAGGGTGATCCAAAATCTATTTTCAAGGAATTAAATCTACTTTATTATCAGATGTATGGTGTTCCATCATTACATAAAGAGAAAAACTAACAAGAGTAATAACTTTTGTGACATGAAAATCTAAAAATTAATGCATACATTTCTTTCAGTTGTGCCTTACATTCATTCAAAATCCTTTTAATACCTGATAAATAATGTGAACACACTAATATGCAACACTGATATCCACTTCACAAATGTACACCCATATACTGTATCAATCACTTCTGTTTCATGTGCCATCAATTCATACTCAAGACAGGCTTTCAAGCAATATAAAAATTGTTCAACAATTAAATGTAAACATTAAATTAACATCATCAAATAACAATTCCACTAGCCTGTAAAGTTATCTGGTATACTCTAGAATCAAGATCACATTCTTTAACAAGTTTTCAAAGATTACAACTGAAACCTCTGACATACACAAATATTTTACAATTTGACAATTCAGGCAAATGAACTAAGAAATGATCATAAAGAAAAATTTTGGGAAAAGATTAATAATGAATATCTGTATCATAGTAACTATGACCATTAATAAGGTCATTTTCAAAACCATTCCATCACCTATCAGCATAGTAACACAAATTAACTAGCTACAACAGCTCTGTGGATTAGGATCTTCACCAGATCGTTTTGTAATATATATCCTTGTAAACTCTTCAGCTACTGTTGGATGTATTCCCACCGTTGACTGTAGTTGGTTCATAGTCAGTCCACACCTAGAACATCATCATCACCATCATCATCAAAATAACAAGTATAAATTATAAACATGAAACCTCTACTTAATGAAATCTTGTAGTCAATAAAACTCTTTTAAGTGAAAGGTTGAGCTAGCCTAATTAAAAAAAGCATTTATATATGCCAGTTCATATCTGGAAAACAATAACACATGCAACAAAACAAATGCCTACACTGAAAGCATAAAATGAACAACATTTGTCTCCCTGACAATATGAGATGTTCTGTCAAATTTGTGTTTCTTATATTTCAATTCATATTATGTTTACAAATTTTTCATTCTTTACCTGTTTAATAACACTTTCAATCAATTATATACGGTCAATATGATGGAATAATCAGTGAAAAGTAAACTAGAAAATATGTGTACATGATCATGGCAAAATTAAAGGTATTATACTATCCTGTCATCTGCATACAGGGAATGAGGAAAATCATGAAAACCTGTCAGGATAGATGGCCTCTGAGACAATATCTGAACCTGTAACCTTCCAAATATGATGCAAAAACACCAACATTCTGGCACAACATTTGGTGTTTCCAAAAGAACTGAATTAATCTCAACAGTTCATAATGACATAACATCACAGCTCAGGCGGTTGTGCATTAATGGGTTCCACCACTGAGATCCATGGTCGGAACCCACTTTTGGACAACAGTGGGTTCAAACAACTCCCACCACTGGAACTGACTGTTATGCTACAATGGGATCACAGATTAGATTTCATTAGAACAGAATGATCTGCAGCCACTAGTGTAAGATGTAGCAAAACAATGATTTCACCTCACATTAGTCCAAGAATGGCCTAAAACGCAGCAATGACCTTGAATAATTTTAGTGCAAGAATAAACTGGGATCACGTAAGTGCAATAACAATCTACATGTTGTGGCATGAAGAACACCTTTGGAATGTTGACATACTCCAAAGAGTGTGTTAGTGTCAGAAGAGTGAATAAACTGACAAGCCAAGAAACTAAAAGTAACCCTGATCATCAATGTGCCACCTTTCTTCTCTAGAACTTCAAATTATTAAACAGAATGTAATAGAAATTAAACAGACATGACAAATCATAGTGAACTCAGCAACTTGCTGCTGGCAGCTATAATCACTCAAACAGCACATTCATATGTAAAAGAAAGTAGATTTTAGTTTTATAATTGAGTCTATGATAAAATAAAATGAAAGTTTTACGGGGCATCTGAATACAGTATAAAGTAATAAAATATATCCCTCTTTAAAATCACAGCATACGCTACACATATTAGAATTTTATATATCTGGAAAAACACCACTGTTGCACCACTTATTTTAATGTAGTTGCAGTCTTTCTTGTCTCATCTTAAAACTTTTGAGTAAATATGTATCTTTTAATACCAAATGTAAATATATCCTACAGAATTGTTCTATTCAACGCTGTGTACATACTCAGAGCATTAAATCTACCCATATACTTTAAAAAAATATCAAGATCTTCTTCTGTGTGCCAGTCACACAGGACAAATGACAGCAATGACGATGAAAATGCTGGTATCATCCTACAAGTCCACATGGTGTTACCAACCAGAAAACCAACATCAACATCTTCACCATGCAAGAATATTTAATATCATAAACAATTATAAAATTAACATACTGTCCTATATGAGAGGACCTAAAATGAGAACTGAAAAATTGAGGTATTTTATTTCACACAAATCTAATGAACCTTGAATGAAAGGCGTCATTGAATAAAGTGTACCATCACAACTTACATTCAAACACACAAACTAAGAACAAACAGATTAATATGTTTACATTTCATTACTATTAGCAAAGATGTGACTGGTGATACACACATAGAAAGAGATTGATGGAACTGTTACAGAGACCAACTTGTCAGAAAATGGGCAAAAACAATTCTATCAGAGAATGCTGCACTCAATTATGAAGCAGACACATGACGGAAGTCATTTAAAAGCAACAATTAAGTGCACTGTACAAAGAATTAAATATTTCTGCCATGAACACAATTCAAAACACTTACTTCATAGCTGTTGCAAATCCCTGAATCACTTCTCCTGCTTGTGGCCCAACAAAGTGCAACCCAAGCACTTTCTGCGGATCATCCCGCTTGGAAATCACCTTGGCATAGCAGTTCTTGACATTCCGTTGCGGTACTGAAAATTCTGTGGGTTTGTAAAATGCATGAAAAACTTCTATTTCATCTTCACCATATTTCTTGATGGCTGCTTCCTCACTTATACCTACTGTACCATACTCCAGCGGAGTAAAGACTGTTGTCGCAACATTCTCATAGTCCATTTGTACTTTGCTATTGTTGAAGATGCGCTGGGCCAGCAACTTTCCTGCTTGAATGGCCACTGGTGTCAACTCTGGCTTCTCCTGTGAAGAATAAATTATATATTAAAACAGATGTTATACAAAAACATGCAATCAATATACATTTAGAAACAGTTAAAACCAGATAAAAAGGTCAAAACAATATATCTAGATTAATGATGATGATATTGCAGCACTAGGACATATAACCAGATAAGCATAAATAACATATTAGGACCTATACGCATTCCCTATAACTTGCTGATACCAGTAACCCACACTGAAATCTCCACACAGGGTTGGCTGTTAGATTTGTCAAACATAACAATGTAGACAGATTACTTTACGTACTTTCTACACCTGCTGTTAATTTCAATCTACAAACCCCTGGCTTCATTCTAACCTATTCAATGACTTTCTTAATAAGAATGCTGGGCCAGAAACTAGCAATATTAACAGTCACCATATTCTCAGGTATCATAAGTAACTTATTAACTTAACTATCCTCATGCAAGAGAAAAACTGATACAAATGCAAACCGTGCACTTACATGCAAGACGTCTCCTACAGCAAATATGTGTTTCACATTTGTTTGCTCATTTTCAGCAATGATCTTGCCACTCTCTGACACAGTTTTCACACCAGCAACTTCAACATTTAACTCTTTTGTAAGAGCCTTTCGACCAACTGCAAAGAGCACTGTATCAAATATGTCAGAGTGAGTTGATTGATCTGTAGTGTTGGTCCAAGAAACCAGAAATTTCCCATCTCCCTTCTTCTCTACTGATAATGGAATGCACTTCATGAGGAAGGTAACTCCTTTCGACTTCATCTCATCTACTACTATTCCCGCTATCTGTTGGTCAAAACCTCGGAGAGGAACTGACCTAACCATGACTGTGGCATCATAACCAAGGCCATTTAGAAAACCAGCACATTCCAGTCCAATATCTTAAAACAGCTAAGGAAATACATTAGCTTTCACTTGAGAGAGTTTATTGCACTGTTTCTAATAATACTGTAATGCAGACAACAACAAATTTTCTCGGCACCTAGATGCCTATTTTAAAACTAAGCCAAACTGGAAACAAAGAAATAAAAAAAGACTGGAAATATTATATCAATGATGATAAAATGCAATGTTTTCATAGAAATTAACCTTTGGAAGTCCAATAATGTTTATGAGAGTACCAGTAAAATGCCTGCTGAAATTCAGTAGGGAATTATTTTTCTTGTTATCTTATTCTCATACCCTCTCTTCCTTTCCTTTCTGCCTTGCTCCCATATTTCTTTTGAATCCCTTCCACACTTTAGTATCTTTAGCCCTTCTCACTCTTCTTAGTTAAGAGATATCACATTGTCTACTTCACAGAAAGATTATTACATTACATGCCATACTGAAGTCTCATGGAAGCAAAGAACATCACTGCAAATTATGCTTTGGGCCTTGGTAAAGACATTTTGAGAACAGTCTCTGTCATTATCAGGGATGTGATTTCAACAGAGCCCAGGAATCCAATACATATATCCTGCCTGGACCAGTTATTACCAGAATGGGTGGCCAATGGGGCTAATGGGTGGAGTCACATGCCTAGATTGCAATAAAATTGGATTCAGGTGGGGATCTAGATTAAAACCAACATGGCAACATAATTTTGGTCTGAATAGGAAACCACATAATGAGCCAAATGGCTTCCATCTCTCCATACAGACACAAAAACTTCATTAATACATTGAAAAGAAGAAAGGAATATTCTGATCATGCAAGCTGTATGAAAATCTAGGACTTCTTAATATTTTTGAAATGTATTACAAATGCAATTAGATTATCATACAAGTATACAGATAAAGTAATGGTGATAAAATGTGGTTAAAAGGATACATCCTGCACCAACAACCAATGTCTTTCCAGGAGGATTTTCCAGACTAAACAGATCATCACTTGTTATTCCATACTGAAGTGCTCCAGGAATGTCTGGGTATCTTGGTCTCCCACCTACAGCAATCACGAAATGTGAAGCAGTCAATGTATGTTCCTTTCCATTTTTCATCACAACCTTCACAGTGCATGGGTTCTCAAACTGACCATGCCCGTTATAATAATCAATTTTCCTAGAACAGAATGAAAGCATTAAGTTTACATACACTTTACTTTCTTCACCTCATCAACAATGACCATAATTCTCAAATGATCATTACAACTTTTAAAAGTATGAATTCATTAAAAAACCGAATTACAAATCTGATCAGTTCCCTTATAACTGCAATTATCTCTTTTGTACTGAGAAAAGATACAATTTTTATTATTGAGAACTGTGTAACCCAGATGTCTTTTATGAATTTTTATTTCCTTGGTTGATGTACTTAATGTACAAAGTCCATGTTGCTGTGATATTGGTACACATAAAACACTAAAGAATGGAACAAAAAATGTTTAAATATACACACATTTGTATTTTTAAGATTCAGGTATCAAACAAAACACACAAACGTTGAAAAGTTGGTGTAGAATCGGTGCAAAGAAAATAACTGACCCTATTTCTTTTATGGATACACTCAACTCAGAAAGGTCTACTAATTTCATTTTGAAGAGCTTTAACTTGATTTAACAGAGGAAGACAGACTGCACAGTTACTTAGAACAGGACTATGCAATGGCAAACATAGCTGGTAACCTCATAGCCACAGAGTTATGAGGGAAGGCTTATGGCCAGCTCACTCGCCAGTCTTCATACCATGTGATTTTTACTTAAGGCATAGCTTGAAAGACAAAATGTACAAAAGATCATCCCCACATTAAAAAACCCAAAGAAAATATGTGAGAAGAAATAATCCGGAATCCCACAGCAAAGCTGCAACATGTGACCCATAGTGTGTTCATGAACCGCATATGTATACTAGCACAAGGGGATCATTTTCAACACTTCCTCTTAATTAGTAAATTTGTCTTAAAGCTTATTATGTTTCCTTGTACTATGTTCACAATGGCCCAGTTTGCAGAAAGGCAGAGCAGTCTGGAGCATGGCAGCGTGCTAGGAGGTCCGAAAAAATAAAACAACGCTGCAGTTTTCAAGGCACAATTAAAAGCAAAGAAAATTAAATTAATCACAGAACTTAACCAAACCTATCAATGAAGATACATACCGCATAAACATAAAATCATGTCTAAATACAACAAAATACTTATTTTAATTTAGCAGTAGGCAGCGTAACATCAGCACACTGTACAAACAAGCGGTATGATTAAGGGAGTACCATGCTGAAAAAGATACTATGAGGTTATGTTTCCAGGGGTGAAAATGCAGACTGTTCTTGTGTGTTGTGATACCATGTGGTCATAAGTTCCTTCTTCAAGGTACCCTGACTCACAAAGAAATCAATTCATTTACACGTATACTGCAAGTGGAGAAAAACTGATAAGACTGCTTGCTTTAATACTTACAAGACAAAAGCTACAAATAATCAAATATTCAAATTTTGAACAGTTTGGGTGTTCATACATTCACTTTGGCGATACAAAGTACAGAGTAAAAATCGCATTTGTTGTATAACTGTACACAGTTGGCTTATTTTCTCATGGCAGTTTCCCCCTTGGGCAAATATAAATTTTACAAATAACCCAATAGAAAACCGTTTTCATTTCTATAAATATTTCAATTATTTTTCAATATCAAGCTATCCTTTATACAACTCTTGCTCCTTCTATACAAAACACACATTTTATAACAATTTTAGAATCTGAGATATTATAATTGATACATAAAGAAATATTCTTGTAGATGATGATATTATATGACATACTTGTCTCTCAATTGCACTCTTGTTACCCAATTCACAGATTTAATATGATTCTGCACAGCTTCCCTCAAAACTCGCCAGTCATGCTTAATTGCATTTGCTTCTGGAAGCACCCAACCATATGCTCTGGCATCCTGTAAATAAAACATTAAAAAACTTAACATATAGCTGCAGTTTATTAAGAAATCAGCATGCAACATACTTTTCAGAATAAAGATGCACAAAAAAGTTAAATATTTTCAATGAAACTCTTAAAAAACTCATATAAAGATACAGCTTAATATATCAGTAATACAGACTTGAAAATATAATTTAATCAGAAAAGTCAATGGCAGCTTGAACAGTCAGGGTTAGATTCCAAGTAGGGGGCTGGAAATTTATTTCTCTACTATATTCAGAACAGCTCTGAGGACCATCACCCTCCATGTAATCAATGAGAGCTCATCTTTCCTGAGGCAAAGTAGCCTGAAAGTGAAGACTCACCTCAATTTAGAGAGCAATAAAACATGAAGCACCTACATACTCCTTAGTGTGTTCACGTAATGGTGATATTGCATATTGACAACTGACAAACAGTTACTCTTATACATATATGTTGAGATTTCTATCAGAATCCACACAACATATTTAAATTGTGAATACTGGATGTGCACTGAATCATAACTAACTAGATGGCTTACCGAACCCGAAGGTTCATCACCGAATTAACCAAAGCCCTCCACCGGACCCTGTCCTGGGCCAACAAAATCCAGTCTCCTTCAACTCCTATCTCCCACAGATCCTGCCTGAGATTATCCTCCCATTTATGTCAAGGTCTCTCCAGTGGCCTCTTCCCCTCAGGCTCCACACGGTGCACACCTCTTGTCCCATCCACGCGCACCACATGTCTTGTCCATCTCATTCTTCTTGACTTAATCACCCTGACAATATTGCAGGAGTAGTACAAATTTTTAAGATCATTATGCAGTTTTTTCCATACCCCATTGTTTTCTCTCCTAGGCCCAATTATCGTCCTCAACACTTGCAATCTGTGTTCCTCCATCAGAGTGAGAAACCATGTTTCACATCCATACAAAACAACAGGCAAAATTATTGTTTTGTATATTTTAATTTTTTGGTTCTTAGAAATCAGATGGGAAAACAAAATATTTTGAACTGAGAAGTAGCAAGCATTTCCAACACCACCTGCTCTTTAACCCATATAAAACATGTAACAAAAATGTATATGATGCAGAAGCAGCTGTTAAAAAATGTCATAAGCTGAAAGTAATTTTACCACGTAACAAATTATACCGGGTCTACAATTTATGAGGCTGAGGTCGTGCTTGCATTGCGTGGTCGGCCGGCGCACTATTGATGTGGCCGGGAGTTGTGCGTGTTCTTCCGATGGTTGACCGGCGAATGAGTTTCAGTGCCGCTAGTAACAGCGAACTACGAATATTTCTCGTCACTAATACATGTTATTACATTAATTGTTCTTACCTTAAATCACAAAAGATGATGAAAGTGACTTACTTGTGCTTGCAGGCAACTTCACATCTCGTTAACATGTTTCGAAATACTCGACGAAGCTCTTCTTGGGAAATTGCCGAAATCAATTGCCGAATATTTTCTTTAAGTGCTTCTGCAGTGTGCAGATAAATTGTGAACATTATGTAAATTTAACAGTTAGACCATTCTTCCAAGAAATGACCGATAAAGAAAAGCCTTACGGTTTCTTCATGCAAGACAACGCTACAGCTCACACAGCTGATTGGTCGACGTTAGCATTAAGAGAAGTGTTTGGTGAACAAGTTATCGATCAGTGGCCTCCGCATTCCCCAGACTTAAACCTGTGTGATTTTTACCTGTGGGGCATGCTGAAGAACAAAGTTTATGTAAACAATCCGCACACTGCAGAAGCACTTAAAGAAAATATTCAGTAATTTCCCAAGAAGAACATGTATTAATGACGAGAAATATTTGTAGTCCGCTGTTACTAGTGGCACTGAAACTGATTAGCCGGTCACTCACCGGAAGAACGTGCACATCAATAGAGCGCCGGCCGACCACGCAATGCAAGCACGACCACAGCCTCATAAATTGTAGACCCGGTAGTTTGCAGCGTCAAAGCTCTGAATGAGAAAAAGTAAAAGGTCATCAGGTTGCTATCAATCCAGGAAAGAACACTTCTAAACCCATCCAAGATCTGCCAGACTCAGCCCCAAACTTGCAAACAAGAAAAAGAAAATATTACAAATTAAAAGTCAGACTGAGTCCAGCCAGTTTTGAAATTCAAACAAAATAAATTAAAACCTGATATGGTACCACACATAAAAAGAATGTGTGCTTCAAACTGATAGTTTATCTGATAGAAAAGTGCTGATTAAGCAACAGGCCTTGTAATTCTTCTCCGATACTTAAGTAGTTCCCCCACTTTCTCAGAAATTTTTTTAAAGAAAAGGATAAGGTTCAAGCATTCACTAGTGAAGCAAAAACAACTCAACTCACAACAGAACAAGAAGTACAACATTTAATTACAGAATGAAACAAGAATGAAGAGTACTAATTATAAAGCCAAGACTTCAGATGCACAATATGATAAACACTTTCTTAACATGGTGTACTTATTAATAATCTGTCATTAATAAATGCATGACATATTTCAATATATTATCACAAATATTTGCAACAGTGGCTAGTGATGGTGTCAGTGACCTCTTGCAGCCCCTGGAGATAAAATGCTTTGCTGCACTAGCAGCAACCTCAAATACCCTGTTATATATATATATATATATATAAGAAATATCTGGCAATCAGTGGAATATTCCAGCACCCTCTGTCTCCACACATATAAAAAGAGCAAGAGAGCTGAATGCATACCAAGTTCAATCAGCATCAAATTCCAGCGACTCAGTCATGAACTGGATGTCAAGTGATGTTATTGTTAAGGAGGCATAGTAACAGAGTATTATGTGTGTATTGACAGCGAGAATAAAAACAATTACAACCAACGTGAAGCCAAGACTGTGGTTTTTAAACTGACAACATTAATCAAAGTAATAATTAACTGTAACAGAGTGGTAAATCCATCTCAGATTTCAAAGAACTAATTACTGAGTCTGACAAAATATTGACATACTTGAGAATATATTTAAATAATGATTGTGGAAGCAACAAAAACTAACGTGGTAACAACAAGATGTAAAGTAAATTAAACTTGAGGAAGCTAAGGATAGTTATCCTACCAATGAAACATGGAACAGCAACTACTCTGACATCTCACTATGTTTGAAAATTGATTTAAACATCTTCGAAAGGGATGATAAAATGGATGCAACAGAAGCATATCCCCTAAAAATAACACGTTAGGAAATGTATGCACAGCATAACAATTATGGTGTGTTTGCCAGAATTTAAGCTTTGACCTCTGTGAATGGTGCCAGCAGCATCAGTCATTTGCATGACTGGAGATTTTTAGGGACCCACAGTTGCATGAGATTCCCTATCCAGTCAAATATGCAGACAGAAACACCTATAGGTCTTCATGCTTTTACTATCAGTTTCACTAGTTTCCAATTCCAAAATGATGAATTTTTAGAAACCCTGAACACAATCTTTTTACTTAATGCTGAAAGTGCTTTACATACACTACCATTGCAACTTACAAGAAAATATAAAATTTATTTAAATATACAGGAGCTTCCATTCTCATCCCATGTGAACCGTTTCCATTTCAATTTGATTCACTCATTTTATTGATCCAATATATTTTAAACAAAACATATATCACAATTAGCAAATTACCATACTAACCAATGAAAGTGAACCATTTAATATCCGATTTGGCTAGCCTAATAGTTATTCTCATGTCATGATGAGAAAATAATAGCAAAAATCTAGTTATTTAGGTGATTATACATCAATTAACACGCATGTTTTCACCTTTAAAAACTGAGACAGAAAAGGTAGTCACAATTACATAGAGATACGAACATTCGGAGATAATATTTAAAATTAAATTACTTTGACTATGTAAAGGTAGAAGCACTCAGCAGTTACTAATTTAGAGTTTGAGATATTTGTTAGCTACTTTACAGTTCTTGAAAGTAATCATAAATAAAACCTGTACAATAAAGTTGTTGGCAATACTTACAACAATAGCCTCTCCTAAAAGAGATGCCTGATGCATAAGTTTCTTGGGAATGCATCCCACATTCACACACGTTCCACCCAATCCCCATACTGTGCCTCTTGGAGAGGGTGATACATAGTCAAGTACTGCTACTTTTGCTCCCAGTTGAACAGCCTCTTTACCACAAGCTAAACCTCCGGAACCACCACCAATAACAACGAGGTCGTAATGAGCATTACCTACAGACAAAGCAAAATAATTTTACACAAATCGACACTGACAAGTTTTTTATATATATTATTTTTTCCATTAACAAAAATAACCTAACTCGATGCACTAAAGATAAAAAAACCTACGTGTAGAGAAATACCTTGCAGGTCTATTGATTATATCACTGCACACAAAAGTACTACTTCTTGAATATGACCTTAATATGAAAACCTGCGTCCTCCGACATGCGAGTGTCCTACACAACTTTACACCCGCCATACTTGCTCTTAGACAGCGTTCACTTTTACACTACAGCAACGAATTCGTAACCGAAACATTCACACGGAACCCAAGACACCGGTAACATTAATCTTTGGCCAAGTGTAAATGCCAGCATCACTGAAAAACTTCAGTAATTAATATAGCAATAGGGAATGAAATCTATTCTAGTAACAGGTTCCAATCGTGGCATCGGATTTGGACTCGTGAAATACCTAACACTGCAGCCAATTTCTCCACAGTTCTTGTTTGCAACATGCCGACATCCCACTAAAGCAGAGGTAAGTTTCATCCACATATAGTCGTTACTTACTCGGGAGAATAGGCGGCATTCTGCAGTTCTCTGCAAGCTTGATAGATGTTTAATCACAATGACACAGCTTTTCGTAGTTCCCTTTTATGCAGTTCTTTATATGTAGGTGTAAGTCCTTGTTCTTACACAAGAAACAATTAAGTTACGCTATTCCCTCAGTCTGTGACGATGAGAATGTCGCTTAATGATCACAAGGAGTGGGGGTAGCTCTGTTGGCATTTATTTGAACTATTTGTTTGGCGGATTAGTTAAAAATTCAGATAATTTTGTGCAAATGCATAATATGATTATTAGCGAACCCACGCAAACCATTAAAATGCGGGGAGCCCAATCAACGGTAATATTCTAATTGAAGGATATTTGTAATATACATTTTTTGAAAATATATTTTGTTCATTGTCCATTAAAATTAAATTTAAATTCATGAACAGAACCAATCAGTCTTTTCATTTCTGTTTTATTGTATTTGTATTTTTACTTAATCATGCTGTCAGTACCTCATACCATATAGCATTGGATAAGATAATTAATGAACAAGAATGGAAAGGTATATCCTTTGGAGTACACAACCATTCCAAATGTTTTCTTCATGCCACATCAAGTACGTTATTGTTGCACTGATGCAACCCAAGTCATATTTGATTCTTAGGTCATTCGTACACTGATGCCAGCCATGTCAAAGTTGAGAACCTTACTTGGAACTTCCCCCCCCCCCCCCCCCCCCCCACCATGCAGGTCCATAAGCCCCATGAATATCATGACAGATATGGATGGGCCCATAATGTGTTCTTTGCTCATGCTAGATTATAAAGAGTACCAAATAATGAATTGGAAAAAATATGGAAGAATGTGGTTGTGGCCTAATTAAGTTACTATCCTGGTATTTGTCTGGAGGGCTTGAAGGAAACCATGAAACTCTTTGGTCAGGATAGCTGGTCTCCAGGCCAAGATTTTGAGTTTAAATCCAATTGTTAAAAACATGCCATCAATAGTAATACATTTTTAATCTTCTTCCTGCATATTTCACATGTTAACTAGTTTGGTTATTACATTTTTAAAATATTTAGAACAAGGTAATAATGAACTTACCATTAGTCCCCTTTAAATGGTGTAGCAAGTGGTTGTAAGCATTTCTAGATATATATATATGTATATATAGCCCTTAGTATTAATTTCATATAGACACACATTTGCAAGCTGAAAATAATTATTGAGGCCTCTATGCATTCTCTGTGATGTATGAAGTTTCTTTTAATATCCTGTAATCTCTGAATTATATAATATAAATATTTATGTGTACACATTCTGTCTTTGTATAATATGCTTACTTTTATTTTATGTTCACAAATACGTACCAGATTCTGAAATGTTATTGCTATGTATACTGTTTGGGACTGTAATCTTGAGACTTACAAGGAGTGCAGGAAGTCCAAAGTGTTGAAGGCTGACGCTATCTTTCCCCTTCCTCTTTCACCCCACTTCCACACCCCACAAGTCTCAAGATTACAGTCGCCAACTATACATTTGAAGACAACTAAGTTATTTTCTAAGCATATAAAATGCAAAAATAATTCTAGTTTTCTTCTGAGTTAATTTATATATTTCAGGCCCTTCAAGAGATTGCAGAGAAACACAAAAACGTCCACATATTGCAGCTAGGTAAGTGTAGCATTACCAGAATCTTACTGCTACTAACTGGAGTAGAGGCGATGTGCATCATCTGTTTGTTGAAATTTGTAAGGGAAAGTAGAAGAGATGGTGAAATATAGAATCAATGAGGGAAAGTCACATACATTTCTAACAAATTAAATACTTTGTCTAATAATATTTGTCCAGAATGTCATCCAAGTTTTACTTAACAGCCTGAATCTCATGTTTCTGTATAAGCTATATAATTTTATATAAATAATTATATTACTCTTCTGTCATTAGTCTTAGCATTCATTATACTATCCTGCAATTTTAATAAGTGTTTGTCAACTGCCAGTCCAGGGATCATTGAAACATTTTACTGGCCTGAAAAATGTTTTACTACCACAGGTCTTTTCTTTCTCAGAACTTGGTAAGAGATAATTCCAAGGATAGAAAAATTTGTGAGTGAGAAAGAACAACAATCACATTTATCATATTCGATTTCTATAATTTTTATTGGCATAACATGTATCTGTATTTAAATATAATTTCTTAATGTGAATTTGTGTTTTACTTTAGTGATAATAAAACTTAAAACATTATATATATTATACCAGTATTCCTTCTCCTTACCTTTACTTACGAAGAACATGTATGTTTGAAACTTAATGTATAATATTCATTATTTACTTTATTTTTAGATGTGACAGATTTTGAAAGCTTTGGCAGTGTGGTCAAGAATGTAGAATCAATTGTGCAAGATGAAGGATTAAATTTACTCTTCAACAATGCTGGTATTTCTCCAAAATTTACTAGGATCAATTTGGTGAAAGTTGAACAAATGACCAGTGGCTTTATGACCAATGCTTTAGCTCCATTAATGTTAACAAAGGTGTAGTATAACAGTACCACATACTAGAGATTTTCCATTGCTCTCAATCTCCAACAAATCGAGATAAAAATGCATGTGCATGTATTCAAGCTAGATCACATGTTCTCATCACATGACAGGCAGACAGACAGACAGACAGAAATGTAGGATTTGAGGTTTCCACAGTGGTGAATCCAAAGAGTGGTTCCACCCTGATGATGAAGGCAGCAAGGACCTCTGAAACGTTGGTAAACTTCTACCAGACTACACAGCACTAAAACCCAGAAGACAGAAATGTGACTATCAAAGGAAAATATTATATTAAAATACTTTTAGCACTTTTACTGCAAAAAGTTAGAAATGTACCTATTAGTTTCACCATACCCATCTACCCATCTGCATGTAACAAGTTGAGAACCACTGAATGGATTTTCGTGAAATTTTATACTGGAATGTTCTACCAACATCTGTAGACTTATCCCAATTTTGGTTAAAATCAGACAATAACAGACACCATATCTAGAGATCTACATTATGTTATGCACACATTTCCTAACTTGTTTTATATTAAAACATGTTACTTATTATATGTTCATTAATTTAACTATTTATGAAGGTTTTATCAATTCTAATAGTGTTATACAATGCATTTCAGGCTTTCCTTCCTCTTTTGAAAAAAGCTGCACAGAATAAATCATCAGAGTCATTTAGTGCATCAAGAGCTGCTGTGATCAACTTCAGTTCTATTTTGGGTTCAATAGCAGAAAACTCAAGTGGAGGTTTATATCCATACCGAGCTAGCAAGGTGTGATACAATATGGGACTGTTTAGTTATGTTATTTTGCACGAATTAGTGCTTTTTGACACTTGTAATTTGTAATTTAGAGTCAGAATTTTATTATATATTCACATGGCTCCACATAGACCTATATAAGTTGCAGCTAACAGTCACTCAATAAAATACACAGGCCCATGGTTTCACAAAATGCTTCATCCTAAAATGTTTATTGAGGGGACTTAATACTTCAATGATAAATATTGATATTGGGCAACAAAAGCAATACACAGTACTTAATTTGCTTTCTGTGCTGTACTCATAATAATAAATCATGTTATATAATTACACCTTCTGAAAATCTCAATTAAGTCACTACAGGTGAATGAATAAGCATATTTATGAATATTTCACAGATTGAATCATATACCCAAAGTATGTACAGATTGAAACATAGCAGGCTACAGCTAAGCAGTTTTGCTGTTGAAAAGAAAGATTTGTGACCAAACTCATGTACAAATACAAAATTGATACAGTAAAATTGTAAATGAAATTAAGAGGATCAATTTATTAGGGAATTCATATGTGCTAGTGACAGGTTAGGTGGATTAGGTACCTGTTTGGTTTTGTAACTAGCTAACAACATGGGGCAGAGTTCCTTTTGAGAAAATGATAGTGACTCAATTGATTCCCTACCTGTAATATAATCCAATCACAAGAGCTTTGACCCACTTGAATCCAATTCATATTCTCACATACTGTTTCTTTAGATACATTCTAAAATTATTTTCTAATCTATGCCTGTTTTTTTCAAATGGTTTCTTGCCTTCAGGTGTGCAGTGTTTGGATTCCCTGTATGCCTTTACAGCCAAAAATGTCATTCTGCCTTTTAGGTCAAGAACATATGTCCAATATTGCCCCTAGTTCAGTTATTTTGTAGTCACTGATTCTGATTTACAGGAAGTTAGGCGATTTTTCTAGATTACCTTTAACTGTAAGTTGCTTAACAATAATTCCATAGAGACATATACACAGTTATCTTTTTCTTGGATATATTCACATCCTATTTCAATTTTAAACAGCCAGATCAGACTTTCTCTTAATGATGAAGTTCATTTCCCATGTGTATGTGTGTGTGAGTACAATATTAGTTCCATCACAACTCATACATGTATAAAAATTTATTTGTAAATGGGACAAATAAAAAAGGAAACGTCTGTAAGATTTGAGATTTTCACAGAGGTGAGTATGAAGATTTCTGTCTTGCACTGTGTAGTCTGGTCGATGTTTACCATCGACCAGACTACACAGTGCAACAACCCAGAAGACAGAAATCTTCAAGGAAACTTCTCTTAAAGATCAAAGGTCTATAAAAATATTAAGAGAAAAAATTTAGCCTTCCCTCAGTGTATAATGTAATCTCCCTTGACCTGCACATTTAAAATTTAAAAATTTATTTCAGGCAGCACTGAATGCTATCACACGTTCTATGAGTGTTGATCTCAAGTCTGATGGAATTATAGTAACCAGCATGCATCCAGGATGGGTGAAAACAGAAATGGGTGGACGAAATGCAACAATGACTGTGGAAGAAAGTGTTAGCAACATCATCAGAACAGTTCTGTCTCTCAGTGAAAAGCACAGTGGAAAGTTTATTCAATATGATGGAAAGGAGGTACCTTGGTAAATGACTACTTATACTGCAGGTAAGACGAACAGTACTTACTGCAAGCAGACCATTAAGTTACAACAATAATGTTCAATAAAACTTTCATTGTAATATTTTGGAATATAACAGACTGACAATTATTCAAGGCATTAGTTTGCAGTTTTCTCCACTGTGAAGAAAAAGTTTTGTTCTGTGATCACATATTTTCTTGCTTGCTTGAATTTTATAGAGTTATGTGCATAGCTTATAACAATATTGAACATATTTGATGTGTAAAATCTTGTCAGCTTACATCGCAATTCATAGCCATTCATCAATGTAGGATGTGCATGGTTTGTCAGGCAGGAATATATACGATTTTCAGTTGCAGAGTTTTCAAAATCATTTATGCTCTGCATCCATCTACTCAGCAGTACTTAAACTTGGGGTTTTATTTTCTTGTTTGTAAAATATTGTAGTTATTTATAAACTGTAACAACTGAATTATATTAGGAGTGAGTAAACCTTACAGCAGACAGACCTACACTTCCCAAATATTTGTATCTTCCACAGACATTGATGGATGCTAGTCCTAATTCTGCCAGTCACTACATACCAGGGGCTCTCAACCCATGGCCTGCAGTCAGTTGGCTCGCCAGTGTGTTTTGTGTGGCCCACGAACATATTACAAAATACTTTATCATTCTGTATGAAAAACATTTACTTGGTATCAGAAAAAACACTTTGTTAATGTCAGTATTTGGCAGTACTGTGAGAGACTGTTCAATTTAATTAATAAGTTTGTCTTACTGACAAATACTTGAAGGATATATATGAATCACAACAGCAGCAATTAAACTTGATATTGAAAAATTACTCAAACAAAAGCAGCATCACCAGTCTCACTAATGATGGATTTTGTCAAAGATAATTACAGAGTACAGCAATATGTCAACTTTTAATAAATTAAGTTTCATTAAACTGTGCCTCATTTATAACCCCATGGCCTGCAAGTTAATAAGCAATGATGAATCTAGCCTTATGTCTAGAAAATGTTGAGAACTGCTCTAATCTGTTCAGGATTTGAGAGAACATACTTCTGACTTTGCTCACTGTAACATGTACACTGCATTTTGCTTAATGTACACCATTATGAATGTAACTACAGTAGTATACACAGCTGTAACTCTGCACAGTGCCAGTATTGCACGAGATAATAAGTTGTATGCAACACTGGAACTCTAACTCCTGGAATGATAGTTATAACAAAGAACAAAATGTAGAAGAATTCCTCTTTATAGGATTTGAGGTTTTCGTTGCAATGAGTCTGAAGATGGCTGTCTTCTGGATTGTTGTGCCATGTAGTCTGGTAGAAGTTTACAGACATTTCAGAGGTCCTTAGTGCTTCCATTAACAGGGATCATCATCAGTAAACTTCTACCAGACTACACGGTACAACAACCCGAAAGACAACCATCTTCAAATTCCACTTCATTTTGAAAACTACAAGATGGCAACAACTGTTAAGCCATTAAGTTACACAATACAAGGATTCTTTGATGAATACTCTTATAATTATAAGTCTCTCAATGCCAAACTGTTTGATTAAAGTAAATCTTCATGTCTTTGCAATACTTGTAAGGAAAGAGAAGGTAATGATGACAAAGGTAAAAGTACATCAAATTTGATAATTAAAAAAGGAGTGAGCAATTACCATAGCAATCACCCAACTCTGAACAAAATCCTTCTTTTGTATTGCTCAGAAGTATCCAATATACAAGATATGAAATATCTTATTTTGTAACCATGATTTCAAACTCTGTTGAGTTAGGTGACTGCATATGTCTTGTGTTCAGTAGGCCTCCTGATGCAAAATAATCTCTGCATTTGATACAGTATCAATAAATAATCCATGAACCAATCCCTGGTAGGTTCTAATTTGAGAACAGTTTCTTTTATCAATGGTATTGCAGGCTAAAAAAATTCCTTTCCTTTATACTCTTCAAATCACCAAATAACGAAATGATTTAGACAAATTTGTGACACATTAAACTGAGGCTGAACCCTGACATTCAATAGGAGAGGGACGAAGAAATGGTCAAAGCAGCTGTTTGTGGTGAGGACAACAATGGAATAACTAAACCTGTTACTAAAAATGATAAAAATAGAAAGACCCCTGGTATGGATAACCTAAATGCAGAATTTTTTAAATATAGTGGTGCCCCATTAAAAGATAAATTGTTACAATTATTTAATAAAATATGGCATAACCACCAACTACCCAAAGACTGGGAAACAAAACTGTAATCGGCATACAAAAGAAAGGCCCAAGAAATAAACTGCTGTCAACTGCACCTCAGTTATAGTCAAAAATATTAAAAAATAAACTTAACAAAAACAGTGAATCTGTCCTAGAGGAATAACAGTGTGGTTTCTGAAGAGGAAGGAGTACGATAGATACTATATTTACTTTACAGCAGCTTCTAGAAAAATTTATAATGTAATTTACCAACGTTCCTCCTGTTTTTCAGCTATGAAAAAGCATATGACATTCTAAACTGAGTAAAGTTATGGCAGATTTTATGGGATGAAGACATATCAGCACAACTCCTGAAAGCAATACAGAGCTTATATCTAAACTCTAACTCAAAATTACAGAACAATTCCTAATTTTAACAATCTGGAAAATCTAGTATCAAATGAGGAAAAGGACATAAATATAAAATTACAAAGATATAACAAAATTAATGGAATAATTAAATAGTATTTTGGAAAATATATGGCAACAGACACAAAATTATAATTATATATCACTTCTAAAGTGACTTTGTGCCATGGCAGCGAAACCTGGACTATAAACGAGAGAGACTCCCAAAAACTGGAAGCAGCACAAATGAGATTATTAAGACCTCTGACATCTGCAACAGATTAAAATGGAACACAATATCAGAAGAACTGGTCAGATCACATGATGTGAATGGACATGAATCACCAAAATTAGCCCTCCACTACCACCCTCTGAAATGACAGGATAGGGGAAGACCTAGACGCAGTTGGAAAGACCAAGAACACCTTGAGATTTGAAGGAATAGGTCCTGAGACCTAAGCCTTGATTATGTTCATGATGATGATGATGAAATCACCAAGTGAAATATTATTTTTCTTTTTCCCAAATGACTACAATGTATTAATATTTTTATGCATGTCTCTAGGTGATAAAACTCTAGAATTATGAGTTTGTCAGAAGTAATTCTGTTTAGTCCAACAAAAATCTTTGTTATATGTTATAACAGAATCCTTTTACTATGAAGAAATTATCTTCAAACAAGTATAATGCCTTAATAATGAATGTTTCCCAACAGACTTGATAGGAATCTAGTACTTAGCCCTCCATGCTAAACAAATTATGTGAATGTTTCTAATATTAGTGGTTCAATGTGTGCATAATTTGTTCCATCAGTAACTAAATATTGCATTCTGGTTACTATTACAGGCTACATGTATCAAACAACTGTGTTACACTGCAAGACAATATTAGTACAAAGACTGGGTATGCAATTATATTTATTATGAAACAATCTGATTTACATTAGTTTAAAATGTTTGTATATGCTTCATTTCAGTATGAAATATAAATCATGGCTGAGCATCAAAGTACAACCATACAGACTTTCTTGTCACCTTATGTAAGACATTTACTGGTAGAAATTGGGGATAAAATCCAGAATAATTCAGAAACAAATATGCCCAACTTGTATGTTACTTCAAATAATACATTTAACTGGAAAGAAATAAATATTTTACTTGGAAATTTGTCAGGTAAGTGAATTTTTCTTTACTATTTTCATAAAGGCATACATTTTTGTTCCACTGCACCGTTGAAAAGTGGTGGTGGTGGAAAAGCAAAAATCTCCAAGAACATGACCTGATGTGATATGTGTCTCTTTATTTAAGTATAACTGTCAATTACGTGTTTGTGAGAGGGGGAGAGAGAGAGCGATTGAATCATAGTATTAGAATTATTTTTTTCTATATGAAAGTTCATAAGGAATATAAATGTATACAAGGAAGCATTTCAACATAAAAATATTGTTAACAAATAAACTAACTCCAAGGAGCAGAGTCCTTCTTTGGATGCTAATAGTTCAGCTAGTCAATAAATTTTCTGCCTTTTATGGAAACTGAATGCCCATTATCATGTTCACAAGAGCTTACCCCTGGACCCTGTTCTGAGCCAGATTAATTGAATCCACACCCTATTTCTTTAAGATCTGTGTACAGATATCTAGATATCAAAACATTGACAATAATAATAACAATCCGTGGCGTAACAGCCCTCTGAGAGCCAAAGCCGACTAGCTGGCTGCTGGCCTCACGGTCACATGCCTAAACAGAGGTGAACAATCATCCAACCAGATATAGAGTGACGTGTGGTCAGCACAACAAGCCCCCAGCCATTGCTAGTTTCCATGACCGGATTACGCTACCATTGTAGCTCCCCAATTTCCTCACGATGTTGGGTTGGCACCGGTCCCATACACCGGTCGAAAATCTCATGAGAAATTTCTTTCCCCGAGACTCGAACCAGCGCGCAGTCTGTATCACCGGTCCAAAGCATGATGCCTCAGACCGCGCGGCCACAAACTAATCAAAACTAAATAGTCATACTTTCAGAGGCAGTTTTTCTGGTTAGGAGTGACAATGGTTTAATATATAAGAGTTCAGGGATCCTTAATGTTTGGTATTTGTTATATGAAAGCTTTTTATACAGGATTTCCTAACATTGTAAAATGTTTTGGTGGGATTCATATTTATGTTTACTCCAAGTCCATCCTTGGGATGGGGCAGAGGTGAGGTTATGATAATGTGCTGGAGTCACACAAAATTGGGGGTAGAAATAGATGAGAATGAAACACTTGAGGTGAAAACACATATTCAGAGATATTTGCCCTTGTGCCAGTTTGTCTACCATAAATCCTGCATTAAATGCTGTGGAATTAAATTCAAGCTTCCACAGTTAAAATCTGGCATCTAACCAACTCAGCCTAGATATTAACAGGATTTTGTATATTATTCACTAATATAATTTTTGTACAGAGCTTCATTATGTAACAGTTTTACTTTATTACTAAAGAGTGTCTGCATTTTTTAAATATTGTATATTTATATTCATGTTGTATTAATATTAAGCAGTATTAAAGTTACAGTTCCTACTATACACTTGTGTAAACAGAACAAAGTTGAGTAAGTTGAATAAGAATTTCTTTTTTCCAGATTGCTTTAATATTCACAATCAGCCAGGAGATTGGTTTAACACAGTAGTTCACAATCTCTGGCCTGTGTTTATTGAAGCTCACAAAAGCATTAGAAATTGTACCCATCAACAACTTGAACAAGTGTGGAAACTGTCACAATGGACCAGGAAGGAAAATGAAATCCAAGAGTGTTACAAACATTTTAGTAATTATTCTCCAACTGGAACTGTTGAAGTAATTTTGCTTCTTACTTCAATACTGGAGCGCTCCTTAGGAAATGTAAGTATAGGGAAAAGAGTAATTACAGTTAGACTGGAATCCAATTTAAGGTAACTTGATACAAAGGATTTCTTTTCCTTTTTGTGGTTTAAAATTTATGGCCCCAACCAAATTATCTTAATTTTATTTCCCCAGAGACAAACTTCTTTGTTCTTAAGAAATAGTACATGATATCTTCATTTTATGGAGATATTTTTGAAGCCATTTTCTTTTCAAAATGTACTGAGATGTATAATAACCAAGTATTTCATGGCAGTATAAACCCCACCATGAAAAATGGCTGAAGCAAAATATATGTGTTCTATAACCAAAACTTTGTAATATAGCAACTAGAGGTATATGAACAAATTTACATACTAAAATCTTGTCTTAAATGAAGTTGTGAACTTCAGACTTGGACCTGAATTTCAAACTCTTCAATTATGCAATGGCTCTGAACCAGTCATATGATGATTTCTGTCTTCTGGGTTGTTATGCCATGTAGTATGGTGGATGTTTACCATCTACCATACTGCACAGCGCAACAACCCAGAAGACAGAAATCTTCATATTCACCGCTGTGAAAACCTCAATCATACAATCTTATGATCACTTCCTTTTCTGGATTATGCCTAGTGGCTTCCTGTGTGAAATTACTTCTCAAGCCTTTTTACCTGGATGGGGAGCAATTCCATGGTATTGATTATTTATTTTTATTTATTTAGTGTTCTGTCTGACGACAGGTCCATATGAACAGGATCCTTCCATCCTTTTCTCAGACTGGGACCTGTTCATATACGTTCTTGGCAGATGATCCAGAAGTGGTTTGCCATTGCCTTCTTCTGTGTGTGAATGGAGTAATTGTTGGGATGCCACGGAGAAACCGGGGAAGCCCCCGGAGGAAAACTCCGTGTTGCCTTGCCCAACACAAGTTATAAATTTGGGCAAAAGAAATTAATTGTTCAAACAATATTATAATAAATAATTTAGTCTTGTAAGATACTTAGCTTCTTTTGATTGAGTTTAACATAACTAATTCTGAATTCAATTACAGTACACTCCTAATTATCTGGTTTGAGAATTTTCCAAGCATGAATTTTTTTACATAAATCAAGACACATGTAAACTAGGCTTTCAACTTCTTTAGATTTCTCCAAATTACATCAGATGTGTACAAAAAAGCAAAGCAGTGTATGAAGTTCTGTGAAAGTGACAAACAAAATATTTTGGATCGTTCATGTTTTTAATTATTCACGCACCTTTCCCCCTTCATTAACCCACATAATTTGGAGCTTACTTTATTAACATGCATTAAGCAACAGCTTTCATTAAGAAGAATCTATCAGTATAAACAGAGAAATGTAATTAAGAAGATTATTTAAAACTTTTTAAGAGATCTTTAGCTCTTAGAGCAACAGCCATGAAAAAATAAGTTAAGCTCAACCTTGAAATTCTAAGCTTCTGTGATAATACTAAACTATTTATTACCAAAGTAATAATATTCTGTAGGTAACCAAAATACAGGAATATTCTGAATTCAATTGTAAGAAAATAAATTACTTGGCAGCTAATGTCATTATGTATAAAGTGAAGCTTTCGCTGCAACTGAAGTTGAAAGACTCTCGGGTTACAAGCCACCTGACGCAGCTTGTAACCCAAAAGTCTTTCATTAATGTCATTATCTTAGCCTGACAAACGTACCTACAAAGAGAAAGAGGCAGACAGACAAACATATTTGGAGTAAGAGCTGCCTGCACAAGTAAAGGACTTCTAAGCTGTTTGGTCAGCTAGATTTTAGATGGCATTATCATGAAAATTACCAACAGAGATTTAACTGGCAGTTTCAACATTGTTACCTTACATACCATATATTCCTGAGAATTTAAACTAATTACAGCTAGCAGACCATTCTTCCAGTCTCACTTGCTACCACAGTCATTCTAAGAACCATATTTTGATTTTACTTAACCTCAGTAGTTGATCTGGTATCATTCAATAACATCTGAACTTTGAATAAAAATTTCCTTGGATATTATCCATCATCTAGTAAATATAAAACGAAAAACGAAGTTACTACGTTACTAGACGATGGATAATATCCAAGGAAATTTTTATTCAAATGACTCTTCACCATCGTCGAGAAGTTTTAGATTTGATAAACATCTGAACTGTTCATGAATGTCATGTATTTTCTAATTCTTGACATAGTTATGTCTTATCAATAATAAATTCTTTTTACAGGTTTTTCTGTTAAAAGGTCATAATGTTCCATTCCTTTTCAAAGATCTCTTGTCAACTAAGGAGTTGGCTTCTATCCTGGGGACTTTTCCTGTAAGTAATACCTTATGTAAATTATATTTGTTTCTTAAAAATAGTTTTTCATGTCAGGTCCCAAAATACTGACATTTTTAAAAGACTTGGTTTGAGGAATTCCATTAATTTGTGCTTGATGAACTAACAAATGCTTTATTAAATTTATAAAACATTTAATGTTTCTGTGGGTGGGTAAGTGTAACTACCATTAAAAATAATGCCTAAAGTAACATAAGTTTTAATAAGGGGTTTCATGGTAATCCCTTGTTCTTAAATATAGAATATGGGAAGGTGGTTAAGAATCATCACAACTATGAATTATACAGTTCACTGGCTAAAAGTTGTCAGTTTGTAGTGCATAAGAGCCAATGTGAACTATGTAATGACTGAATATCCTGAGTTACTTGTAGTCTTTACATGTTGTATCAGGACTTCTTGCAGGATAACTGGGAGGTACCATGTTACATATTGTGACGTAGGTACATATGTCAACCCCGATTTATTAACTATAATAAATCAATCAGTTTTCAGAGTCTGCACTTACAGGCAACTCTCTACTACAACAGTTTCTGGGTCTCTGTCTCTGCACTTGACACAACACACACTTTTCACACACACTGTCTGGTCCCCGAGCTGGGCGCTCTTCTCACACACACACACACTCATCGGCCCATAGCACCCCACTGGACACACACTGGTTCCTCAGCCACCACGGTCCACGAACCCGGTGCTCCTCACAAGCAGCCGATCCTCACTCTCAGCACCACACCAAACCGCTCGATGGCCCCTTGCTCTCAAGCACACAACACTTCACTGTCTTGCTGCCACTGTACCCTCCAGCTCATTGCTTCACTCGCTCGCTGTTCACTGTCGCCTTATTCACCACTGGTCACTTCTGATTCACACTTTCCACTGCTCACACTCGGGCAGGCGACCTTTTATATTCGCCGGCCCGGTTGCCGAAGGTTCCAGGCCAGGAAATCTGGAAGGTACGCTTTCTGGAAGGTTCCCCTTCTAGAAATTTCTTCCGCCCCCCCCCCCCCCCTCCTCCAGTGCGAGCCTTCGGTTCTTACAATGCCACATCACAATATTTACCATATGGTGATTGACTACTGAATATCAAATTCTTACACAATGGCTGATAACCATTACATATCTTTGAATTCTGACATGGTAGCTAAGCAAACTCAGAAATTAATTTTAAAGAACATTACCAGTAACACTGTAATAATACTCTTCACTTCACAGGTTGCTTTTCATGCTGCTTGGATTACACCTGACTGAAGTGATAAGGGAATACCTACCAATTAAAATTTTGTCAGTTGTATACTTAAGCTACTTACTATACTTGTATAAAGTACTGTTACTGTGTCTCTTCTTTTCAGACTGTGTTTATACAAGTGTTGCTAGGAACACCAGTAGCACTGAATCTTCGTAATATAACATGGCATGGATTTCCATGTCCTCATGAAATTAAGCCTGAACTTGGTGCTGTATTTTTCTTGGTCATTGCTTCAATTGGAGAGATACTAGCAACTAAACACTTCACTGTCAATTCCTTGCCATGTCGTCCTCAAGTGTCTACCTTGATTTACCATTCAAATTTGTTAGAAGGATGTTTCCCTGACTTGCTGACATACAAGACAGAAATAAGAAACATATTACTTAATTCACATCATATTGCACACTCGCATCTTTTGTACTGGGAGGCCATACTGGAGCATTATTTCAAATCAAGGTAATGGTATCCAACAGTCTTAATTACTTTTATATGGAATGACATTAATGCCACTTCATTACCTAATGGTTTAGCATTGTCCTCTTCATATGGTATATGATGTGTTTCTTACCAATGCTGACTCTATACAAGATAATTCAAGGGAAAATTCAGGATTTCATTAATCTTATGGGGTACTACTAAAAAATTAAAATTGATCAACTAAATTCACTACTGGGAACAAGGCTGCTCCATTTTACTCATTTTTCATAGTAACATTTTACAGCTTTGGATTAATATCATGTTTCATTTTGACATACGAATAAGCTACAACCATCAGATCCTAATTTTTAAGCAAAGGAAATCTTTGAAAGGTGGTATTTTTCTGTTTGTATTATACTCTGTGCAAGTTCCTGTGGCTTCAAAACACATAATTAGCATTTATGTTATGACTGTTTAGTGCAGGGGTCGTCAACCTGGTCCCTATTGCCCACTAGTGGGCGATTCAAGCTTTCATGGTGGGCGGTGGGGGTTTTTGTCCGTTGTTACAAATTTTGCCCTTCCTCCATATATTGAATACATTGCTAACAACTTCGCGAGTTTGACTTTTTAAAATATGCTTTTGCAATTCTTGAAATATACTCGTGGACGAGGGTGCAACGAATGAGCTCCGTAGCCAAAGGCACGAGTTTAGTGTGCATAACAAGGGCAGGGCTTACCACCGGCCATCACTCAGTCTTCAAGCTGTACCTCTTTCATGGTGGTGGGCAGTACGTGCGGCACTGGTGGGCAGTAAGGAAATTTTACCATCAACAAGATACAAAAGTAGGCGGTAGGTATAAAAAGGTTGACAACCCCTGGTTTAGTGTGTATCATTTTTATTCTATTTAATATTGTGAAGATTCACAGTGTTTATAAGTTTGTTTTCAGTTGTAGAAATTACTCCTTAATTTAACAAAGACAGAAATTGGTTAAAGAGTGACATTAGATTTATGGAAATACAAAAATTATGACTAACAGAAAAATTTGAAGAAGTCATACATTTTTAAGAAGTTTCATTCTAACAAAAGAAGACTGCTGGGTATGCAGCAACTTTCCATTGGGGCAGAGACATGATTAAGTGATATTTCACATAACCTGAAGAATATTTGGTCTTAACAGTTATTTGAGGCATGAACAATTTTAAATTTTTAATACAAAATACACTCGCCACAGGTAAAAGAACACATTTTTAGCCTCAATCTGAATGTAATAAAAACCTTCAATAATAGACATTTATTATCACATGTAAGATGCAGTGTTGCCTTTGTTCCTTGATCTTAACATATGACACTAAATTTTTAAATATCTCATATAAAATATGATACTGGGTGAATGGATTTTCCTATATGGATAATAGATTTAGGTTACATTTCAGGAGCCCTAAGTAATGCATAATTAAATCCTACTACTACTAATGCATAATGGTACATTCTTTCAGGTATGATAAGTGTCTGCTGCTACTGCTACCCCAAATTGAACAGGTGCTTCGAAGCATCTTCTGCTGGGCTAATGGCTGCCCTGAGAGAGTGCTTACAGCTGAATCAACGTCATTTTACACAACACTTGATGAAATACTGGCAGAGAATATAAATGACATGAAAATTAATAAAGTGAGAGCAGTTTTAGGTGACTGTCTCATTGAAATGTTGCAGGATATTTTTGTGCATCAAAAAGGACCAAGAATAAGGGACAAGATTAGCCATGGTGAATGTGATTTATGTGATGTTACACAAACTCTTACAAATCACATTATTTGTGCAACACTGGCATTAATTATAAAAGCAAGAGAAGAGGAAACAAATGTAGAAGACAGTTCTGGCCTCCATAGCATTACCAAACTTGTGACAGATGAAGTGAAAATATCATGTTTATCTGATCGCTCTTCTGTTGAAACTGTGCTTAAACTGGAGAATACAATAAGAGATGCAAGCAAGAAATATGTTTCCAAATTTCATTCCAGCTCCTTGCTTAAAAACAGCATTGTCGAAATTACTCATAAATTAATGGAATGGAAAACATATCCAAGACCGGAGTTAGTGGAAAAACTGAGGTGCATGATGTGGGAAGAAGTGATTCAGGAAGATAAGACGCAATTACTGCAGTTAAAACTTGATTTGTGGAATTCAATATCGGAAACAATTACATCAAACAAGCATGATTATGAAAATACGTTTAGTGATGTAGTGGGTTTTATAACAGAATATAAAATTTTGACTATATACAGATCTAAGACTGAGACAGACATACTGAACTCATTGAAACAAATTGCTGACAATATTCAGATTATATGCAGGCAAGTTGAACAAGGCTTAAGAGATAAATACCACCTTCACTGTTCTCATATGTTACGATCCAGACAAAGGGAAACTTATCATCGGATGCTGAATACAATCCCACGTCTACATACAGCACTTGAATGTGTGGTGTTTATACTTATTATCCACTTGATACACATTAACAGGCTACCTACTGCAACAAGCAAGGAATACCAGCACATGAACAGGTATAAAATTTAAGTAGAAAATTGATTTCTTTTATGGAAATTAAGCCATCTGCATTTAAGATATTGAGACATAGGAAATACAGTCTGCAACAGTGCTTCCTAGGTATAGTGCAAAACAACAGCCTAATCATTACTTAAACTTATATAATACTGACATAAAACAGATTTCTAACAGATAGCAAACTTAGACTGAAACATGAAATATTCAGAGTATATTTATGTTATATGCAATTTGAAAATATTTGTGTCTTTACCGACATCTCCGTTAAATGCACATACTGAAAACAGAATAATTACAAACCACCTTCTTTATATTTCCTTTCCAGATTCTTAAAGCAAGTTTTGCAGTATGCACAGAACTTAACAACATATACAAGTGTGGAAAAGAATCGCTGGGATGAAGTAGTAGCTTTAACATCAAGCTTCTCACATTTGTATCAAGCTTCAAATCAAAACTGCATATTAAAGGATATTCACAATCCCAAAACAATAACAATCAAAGACTAAATGTACAGATGGAATTTTGCACATAATAAAGTTCTAAAACTACATGTGACATGACGGTATGATTACCATCTCTTTATATGAAATGTCAATGATTCTACTATATAAAACAGCTACGATTTTATGTCATTCTGACTCCTTTGGTATGAAATAGTATTCTCTAACTTAAATCTTTGTAGTCGAACCCATTGTAAATGGTATGATTAAGCTGCAATGGACTTCTGAAGTAAATGTAAATGAAATGTTTGTTTGGCTTTGTTTTCTTCATAAAGCATGTTTACAATGAAATGATATTCTCAGGTGATGGACTACATAATTAAATTTTCTGTTTGAATAATTCTAAGGTATACCGCATGTATTATATATTTCCCTCAACACATTCAGATTTATCCATCATTTCCACAATTATCATATATGCAGATTTTCTTCCACTACTAAGTGTACAATTACTGACAGCATCATCCAGTAATTAATGTATCCAGAAATCTAGCAATAAACTATAAAAAATATGGTATGCCTATTACTATTACTTTTCAGAATGTGATACGTAAAGTCACGTTACTACTGGCCTTGGTTCAATGGCTCACATTCAATTATAATGGTGCTAATTGAAGACATGACAATTGAAGAGCGTAAATAATGAAAACAAACATAAATATACATCACGTCTCCAGAATTTAGAATTTTCAGGAGATGAGGAAGCAGTGTTTATAGAAAGAATTCTATTCATAAAGCTGATTAAGTAACTATCACAATTAATATTACCAGTTATTTAAGTAAAAACAATATTCATTTTCATATATTATGGTCCTTTAGGTTTTAAACTACTATACAAAAACAATGCACTATGCTTCTGTTGTCTTAGGAAAGATATATGTCCTCACATCTCTTCTGCATGATCTAACTTACTTATTTAATTTCCTTCAACTTTCATACCCGCACACACATACACACAATTTTAGTTTAGTCAAATACATTCATGTCTAGAGGGATATCACTCAGAGAAAAATACATGCTCAATGGTATAGATAACAAGGAAATGTTTCAAAGCTTAAGTATTTTGAAAAATTTCTTAAAACGTGGTTAAATTACCAGTTTAAGACCAGTCAATCAGTCTTCAGTCGCTTACTGCTTGGTTCACTGCTTTGTGAGTTAGAGTCTTCCGAGAATCCCAATTGTGCAGAGAAATCTGTTGGCCCTTGAGAATCGCTCACCATAGAGAAACCTGTGAAATCCATTATCATAAATTTAAAATGTAAACTTTTAATTCCAGTCAAAAGGAAAATAGGTTCATGAAATCATCATTCTTGTGATAATGTCCTGTCCAACAGAATTTCAGCTTATTCTCATAGAATTTGGTACAAAGAAATGCCATACAGGATTATTAAAATACTGACTCCACGGAGCACAGTAGTTCTTGAGAAGCTGACAGAATACTCAAATAGTCAAGAAATTCCCTGTATTTTACAGAAAATAATCTAACACCAATTTAGGAATGAAACACTTTGTAGACTTAACATAAATTCCTTAGGGGTCAGATGACTATTAGTGAAGGAAGGAGGAGTCTAGGTCTAGGTAAAATTCTGCATATATTCAAGAACACAGTAAAGTTAGAATCATTTAGAAAAATAGGACCTAATTTTGTGTCTAGCTGTAACTGCTTATTCCAACAGTTGGAATTAGGAAAAAGAATATCCTATCTCATAAAGGAAATAAATTCTTTGAAAAGGTAAGAAGATTATTACTTGAATTCTGTTAGCCCAGAAGCTTTATTGATACAAAAATATGACACTGCATTTCAGTTGCAATTATCATAACTGCAAGCAGCCCTAGAAGTAAGTCTACCCATGACATTATATATTTTGAAAGAATATGAAGACCTAGTAAGGATCTGGAAACTGAAGGTGAATTTTATGGTAGTAAAAGTGGTTCACAATTCACCTGGTGAAATTACAGTGGGTAAAAATTACATCAAAGAGAAAATATAAAGAATATAAAGATTTTTAATTGGAAATTATGGACAATTATGTGACCTTATCTGTAGATTTCTACATTCCAGTGATGACAGTAAATCAATGTACACAGGGCCTTCTAAATTATTCAATATTTTTCCCATTCTGTATCACCTAAAAATGTTACACAAATCCATTCATCATATCAAATCTATTAAAATTCTAAAGAGTGAGTGCACTTTGGGGTGTGTGAAGTTTAAATAGAGTTCATTTAAATCCACAGTATTATTAAAGAGTTAAACAACAGGATAAAAGAAATTAACCTTATAATTTGTTGTCTTCAACCAGTACTAGTGTGATTTGAACAAGGTAACATGAATGGGTAAACAAACAATAATGAAAAAAATTGTGGTCAGGAGTCCAATATGTGAGGATAATATTCTTACAAAATACAAGTTGCCTGGATACAGACTGGTCTAAATGATTCAGGATAGGTCCCAAAGACAAAATCCGGAGCAATGATAATGAACTTTCATGTTTCACGATGCGATTACTTGAACGTAAAGTACCTATTAAATGCTCAATAACACCTTGTACCAAAAGTCACTTCAGTACTTACAAGTGTTTGAATCCTCAGCAAGGCCAAAATTAGAATTTGATGAATCCAAAGCAGCTGATTTTCTTGCTAATGTGTTCTCCTTGTTACAGTGATCTTTGCCCTTTTTCTTCTGAGAAGACCAGAACACAAAAACAGAATGTGGGAAGACCATAATATTCACACACTTCCTACAGGTCATTAAATTATATAAAAATATAACATATACAATATACTTCTCCTGTCTTCAAATATTACATAACAAGTTGGAAGTCTTGCAATTCATCAACAGAAATAAATTTAAATATTTAATATGTCTACATGTAGGTATCAGCAGTATTAACTTCAGAGATGGGTTCCTTCAACAAATATTTCTGGGGGTCAAACCAAGGGGTATGCCATGCATAATGACATGGGTCATGCTTTTCTCTCATTACTTTTAGTATGTTAAGTTTTAGGTGGCTTTCTTACATGCCAAACTATAAAATCCAACTGTCATTGTGACTAAATCACACAAGCAAAACTTTATTATGATGACATGGTACAAACATCACAGAAATTTGTACTATTACACAAACTAAAGAAACCAACCTGTTCACTGCTTGAAATTGGAACCCACTTGTAGATTTTCATTGTTGTCTCACCAATTGTCACCCATTTCTTTTCCCTTAAAGATAACATGTTAAGATATAAGTAAAACCTTTCCAGAATTATAAATTGTTTTATAGTAATTATCAACTACAAAATGATTGGATATGCTAATATAAAGACTATAACTCTGTATAATAATTTACTTCAATTGAAAACTATTACACACTGTAAATATTTATATAAATAGCTGTAATAAGTATGCAGTTATGTACTAGGAGAATCTAGGGATTGTATATAAATTATAATTCTGTTGATTTTTCGGTTATACTTAAGTTGTTAACATTATTAAACAGTAAGGATAATATTATGGATTATATTTTGGTCTTGTACTGTAGTCACCTCTCAAATTACTTACCAATGACGTACTTTGTCAACCACTTGCATTACTCTTTTAATGTCATCTTTGGCTCTACTTCTTGTTTCTGCTCTGACAGATCTTGACATCATTTTGATCACTTCAACACCTTCCAAAAACATAAGCACAAGTAAAAGAGATATTTCCCTGCACCATTAAGCACAAAAACCATACGAACATACAGTCCAAACGAACCACAAATATCAATGCCCTTGGAGGGAAGTGCAGACTTACCTACCATCTATTGTACCGAACTGTTATAATTGTAAACTTCCAATCCGACATCGGTAGCTAGGTAGGTAAGAAAGCTTATTAATATTCCACGCAGGCTTCCCCGGACCACCTTGAATTAGAAAAGTCAAGGCGAAAAAATGCAATCAATCCTCAGAATTGGTGAATTGGTGTTGTTTCGTAGGGCACTATTGCTCTAACAACAATCCGCAGTCACAAGTGTAGTATGTATGAGACGTAAACTGTGGTAAAGTTTTACGAACATTGTAACAACAGCCAGTAAAACGGTTCAGAAAAATACGGTGAGAAGGTGAGCTGAAAAGTAGTTGTCCAAGAAAAATAATAACTTACAAAAAGATTCTCTTTGTTTTCTCACAATAACCATCGTTTGTTCACTTTTCTTTTGCCTAATGTCGTTCTAGTTACTAATCTTAAATCTCAAGACCAGGGATGGGACTTCGGAACTAAGTTTACAACGTCTACTCGCATCTACACAGTTTGGCAAAAAATTAATGAGACTGAAATAAAATAAAAACAAAGATTCATTTCACAAAATGTTTATTATCCATTGGACGGAATACATTTATTACAACGTCCATGTAAACTTTGGAAAGAC